CTGAAAAATGGTGAAGGACATTGGTGGTATTGACTGCTCCAGATCTCCCCATCACTCTGAAGGACCCCCTGGTTGCCCTGTTCCAGCTATGGAAACATCTTCTGAAATCTTCCCATAGGATTGAAGGGAAGCTTGGGAAACTGGAGAAGCTGCAACAACAGAAGGCAGGACCTTCACATACAGCTCTGGCCAGCTTGAAACTAAATGTGTGCAAGAACCTCACACCTTTCCTCCTCCCCGAAAGAAAAACATCAATGCAATCTCTTCCCCAACAAATGGGATGAGAGTGACTAAGACAAGGGACACCAGATCTGGGCTGCAGAAATTCAAATAACCACTAGATGGCGGCAAAGGGGTTAAGCACTTTTTGGATCTCTCTGCTGCCATTTAGCGATCATCTGGATTTTCAAAAGCCCCATCTGGTAGCCCTACGGGAGACATTTTCAGCACAAAGAGAGTCTTAACAGAAATTGAACAACAAAAACCTTCAATATTTTGGAAAGTCCTTTCCACGAGTCACTGTTAAGGGAATATTCATTCCGTTCTGCATCAAGAAGAGAAAAGAGGTTGGAGGCTGCTTGGTTTCAGTTCGAGTTTTCAAGACTCTTGCCCTGATGCTAATGCTGGGGCTACTTTGAAAGACAGACATGGGTTTGTATAATCCCTCCTAGGATGCTTTTGAAGGTTTGTAAACTGTAAGGCAAGGGATTGATTGCATTAGAGGCCACACTCTGTTCATAGCTCCTTTGACAGAGCCGTGCTGGCTGGGGAATTCTGGGAGTTGAAGTCCACACATCTTCAAGTTGCCAAGGGTGAGAAACATTGGTCTAGACTATCAAGGCAAGGGATTGATTGCATTAGAGGCCACCCTCTGTTCATAGCTCCTTTGACAGAGCCGTGCTGGCTGGGGAATTCTGGGAGTTGAAGTCCACACATCTTCAAGTTGCCAAGGGTGAGAAACATTGGTCTAGACTATCAAGGCAAGGGATTGATTGCATTAGAGGCCACCCTCTGTTCATAGCTCCTTTGACAGAGCCGTGCTGGCTGGGGAATTCTGGGAGTTGAAGTCCACACATCTTCAAGTTGCCAAGGTTGAGAAACATTGGTCTAGACTATCAACCCACGTGGAAAAGTAGCTGTTGTAACTGGAGCCAATTTTTCCCCTACTTTTAATAGCTTGACCCCATTGCTCTTCAGTGATGTAGAACAAGTCTTTGTTTTCGTAAAAGCCTAAAACCTTATTCCAAAAAGAGAACCTTTGTGTGGTGGCTGCCAATCCCTGGGGTTTCCCCATACACATCCTGCTTATGCTGAATCAGCCATTTTCAAAGGCTGGTATTGGGCAAAAGGAATGAATTAAGTTAGTTCAGTAAGCATTTTGCCATCCGGAGCTGAAAAAAGGGCTTACAATTTGGCTGCTGTGCTGAGCTTGGATTGTGGTTTGCAAACCAGCCAAAATCATCTGCTTCAACAAGCTTTCAGCAGTTTGAGCAGGTGGCAGAACGTGGCATCATCGTCCCAGGAAGGAAGGACTTCAGATTGTGGTACTGGTGGTTCCCAGGCTTCATTGCAAAAAGCTCTTTGCGCATAGAAAGGTAGTGTATTAGGAAGAAGATAAACCTTTTGATGCTCACTTTCTAGCATTTCACATTGAGGTGCCTGGATTTCAGCAGGAGAGAACATGCTAACCACATAATTCTCGTGCTTGGTGTGAAGTGTGAAATGGTTCACAAGGATTATATCACTTGTAATCTCTGTGAATACTTTTCTTTAGGTCCTGCTCCTCATTGGGGTAACCCCAAGTCAATTGGAGAATACGATATCCGGCTTTCAGCCCAAAGTTTGCAAACTATTCTTTTTCCCCCTTCCTCAAAGACTGTCTGGCTCTTTTTCACATTCTTAAACCAAGTGCAAGCGACACAGCAAGAAAACTGCCCATTCAATGAAAGGAAAAGTCTGTTTGGAACAATTCAAGTTTATTAATTTATAAAAGAGATAAAACACATGTATAAATAATGGTTACAAGTATGTGTCTTGGGAAAAGTGGGGGGTGGAAATGGGAACCACCCAACCCAGCCTGGCTAGAATGTGTCTTGGTTAATGTTAAGCAAACATGCTACACTGATTTTTCCTTGTCCTTAAAAAAAGAGAGAAGTTATTATACAAATAAATACACAGCCTATATCCCACATATCTCATCACAGATGCAAAAAGTTATTTATCTTTCCTTCAGAAAATTAATAAAATATAACAAAAGTACTGTACACTTCTCAACCCGTGCCCCTTCCCACAGCGATAGATTTCAGAAAGAGAGACACTGCGTTACATCCAAAGACCTACATGCTCATTAAGTTAAAAGAGGAAGGGTCTGTTCGCTAACCGGGGAATTTTGGGAGTCGAAGTCCACCCATCTTAAAGCATGCTGCCTGGGGAATTCTGGGAGTCGATGTCCACCCATCTTAAAGCATGCTGCCTGGGGAATTTTGGGAGTCGATGTCCACCCATCTTAAAGTATGCTGCCTGGGGAATTCTGGGAGTCGAAGTCCACCCATCTTAAAGCATGCTGCCTGGGGAATTCTGGGAGTCGAAGTCCACTCATCTTAAAGCATGCTGCCTGGGGAATTCTGGGAGTCGAAGTCCACCCGTCTTAAAGCATGCTCCCTGGGGAATTCTGGGAGTCGGAGTCCACCCGTCTTAAACTTGCCAAGGTTGAGAAACACTGGCTTACACAACCCAAACCCTAAGTTCACACAACACATTTAACCCCAACCCCAGACTGACGAAACACAATTTCTGCCTTCACATTGCCTGAACCAATAAACCAAGCTCAGTGCGATAATCAGGTTGACCCAACCTGCTAACCATGAGTGGATCCCCACAATATGCTAAACTGCAAAGGCCTTCACCCCATTTGAGCTGAGCTTTCTAGGGGGTTGTGTGAACTCAGCTGTTGAGCCAGGGACCAGCCAGACTGGCTATCTTCGTAGAACACTTCCCATGCAAGCTGGTTTTGCAGTGGCAACACAACCAGGATGTGATGGTTCCAACTTAAGATTCCACAGCTGAAAAGCATTGCTTAGCAGTTCTGCTCCACTGCAGCCGGGGAGCATCACGTTCTTTTAATTTTCCTTTGATAAAAGAGATCACTGGAGACGTGGCAGCAGCGGATGACATCCTGGCTGCACCACCCTCCCATTTCCACCTCTGCCCCCTTGGGGTTCCATTGTTCTTTCTTAAAAAAACAAGGAACAACACGGAACCCATGCTCACCTTGGAGTATGGTGTGTCTTCTCTTTAAGGCATGGAGCATATCCTAACTCTCATGGGGGATGTGGAGTGTGAAACCAACCACCAGGGTTTGCAACCATAGTTGATAGCAGGGATAAGCAGCCAATAGCCTGCAAGAAGTATGTGCCCCCCTAGACCCAATTTCCCTCCCTCCTACCCGAATTCCGTGGTGATTTTTGCCTGCATGATTCACAGCATTTCAAAAATGGAACTAAAGCTGAAGAAAGGAGTTGAGAGCTTCTGCCAAGGTCAATGCATCTCTTCTAGCCTCAGCCTTCCCCAAGAAGGCCAAAAGATTTGGCACAGGCCATCTTCAGATACTCCGTGGCTCTCTGATTCAAGCTCCCCTTGCTTCTTCTCAAGCACACTTTGGGCTACCCCTCCCAAGGCATTGTGCAACTGTTCCATCTTTCCTTCCTCATGGCAAGAAAAAGATGGGAAAAAATAATGGGAAAATGGGTGTGTGTGTGTGTCTCAAATAGAAACAAGATAGCCTGGAACTAATTCTCATCACACCTCAAGAGCCGTTGCACAGTGGGGGGAAAAGGCAGCTGCCCTGGAAATACTGTTGTGAGGTCTTCTTTTCCAGTTT